TCCTTGTGTTCTTAAGACCTTGATATAAACCTCGGTAGCATTCTAACCATTTTTAATAAAATGACCTTTGAATATCATCAATCAGTCAAACAACTGGCAACAAGTGATTTCTGACTGACAGCTGAGACATCTTAGGTTCTCATCACTCACCTTTGACACCTGGTTCTGCAACCTAGGGCAACCACTTCACTTTTCATGCCACAATCGCTCCATTTATAAACTGACTGTATTAGGTGATTTTTAAGGGTCTTTCCAGCCCTAACCTTCAGTGATATTTTTCCCTCACCCTCACATCTAATCAATTAACCTGTCAAGCCAGTTATTATAAGTCATCATAAGCAAGTCATGTCAAAGCCACCGCATAAACATTTCAAATTCATCCACGTCTCCCAGGCCCACTCCTAATGCTTTGTTCAGGCCCCCATCATTGCTCACCTAAAGTGGGACAAGATTACCTAGTGCTGAGAGATGAGGTTCTAAAGTTAACATCAGAGTCCCAAATCAAGAATAGGACTAAATGGGCTGGGTGCGTTGCTCATGCCTGTAATCCCAGCACTTTGGGAGGCCGAGGTGGGTGGATCACTTGAGGTCAGGAGTTGGAGACCAGTCTGGCCAACATGGTGAAACCCCATCCCTACTAAAAATACAAGAATATGATTAAAGGAGAGGTGTAAGAACACATGGGCCTGGCACGGAGGAGGTGCTCAGTGAATATTTGCTGCATTTGAATCTGAAACCAGCCTCAAGTGACCCACCTGGATCTCACTCCCTGAAAGTTATGGAGGAGGAGTTCACAGTGAAACACTGGAATTGCGAATGCACCCTGCTGTGTGCCCTGCCCCAGACACTAGGTGCTGCAGGAAGACAAAGACTTGGCAGCATCCCCTAAAGGGCTGACAGTCTAGAGGGGGAGATAGGAACCCCTGTGCACAAAACAAGCATGCCTCAGGCGGTGTCTTCAATGGAAAGACCAGATGGAGAACAGAACAATTATCTGAGCAAATCAGGCAAGCCTGCTGTTGAGGAAAAGGCTGAAGGAAATTTGTCCTCCTGTTTCCTTTGAGAACCAAGGGGTTAGGGCAGCCAGAGGAAGCAAAAGTATTTCAGCTCTAGAAACAGAGTTCTGGTCTGTGCTGTATGATCTTAGGCAAACTATGAATCTGCTTTTTTAATCTCAGTATCTTCATCCATAAAATGGAGATAGAGTAATACCAACCTGGCACAAACCTACCCACCTACTGGATTAAGTTGTTGTGAGGTTCAATAGAACAATTGCTGATGGGGAAAACAGTTATTAAAGGGGTGACCTAATAAGCTAACATAGACAACGGACAACGTGCCTCCTAAGAATCTGCTCTGAAAGGAAATGTTTAGTCATCATAAAAAGCATCTGTAATGAACTTTATTTGTTTAATTTTATTTATTTCCCTATTTTTATTAAATAGAGTTGGGGGTCTCGTTATGTTGCCCAGGATTGTCTCGAACTCCTGGCCTCAAGCAGCTTCTCACCTTGGCCTCCCAAAGTGCTGAAATTACAGGCATGAGCCACTGCACCCGGCCTGCCTTATAAATTATAAAGTTCAGTAAAGGCTGGGTGTGGTGGCTCATACCTGTAATTTCAGCACTTTGGGAGGCCGAGGTGGGCGGATCACAAGGTCAGGAGTACAAGACCAGCCTGGCCAAGACGGTGAAACCCCATGTCTACTAAAAATACAAAAACATTAACCGGGCGTGGTGGCAGGCGCCTATAATCCCAGCTACTCCGGAGGCTAAGGCAGAGAATTGCTTGAACCTGGGAGGCAGAGGTTGCAGTGAGCCGAGTTTGCACCACTGCACTCCAGCCTGGGTGACAGAGTGAGACTCCGTCTCAAAAAATAATAATAAAATAAAAAATAATTATAAGGCAATTTCATGTGCATTTATTTTGTTTACAAAACCCTGTCAGTACTATCATTTGCCCCTTTTACACTTAAGGATACTGAGATTTTGCTCCTTTTACACTTAGCTTAAGAGAGCTTAACCTACTCATTGCAGTTCCCACTGTGAGGTCCAGATTTAAGCTCTCTGACTCCTTGGTTCTCACTCTTTCCCCTACACTGTGCTGCCTTCCTATTAAAATCCTAATTACCAAAGCATTAATATTATTAACATAAATATTAATAATGTTTGTTATATATGTTTCCCTTTGATCAAGGACACTAAAACCTCAAAATAGAAACTCTGAAAAAAAAGTCTGACATGCAAGAATAGCAAGTTCACTTTCTCATATAAAGGGAAAGTAGCTGTCCCCATCTGGTTTACATTTCATGCTATACAGCAGGAAATATTTAAGTTGACAAATAGGATATTTACAACTGCAACAGATACTTGGCAGTTAGTTTTTAACAATTGTTGCAAATGTGATTTATTTGCTATTATAAAAGGGTATTACTGTGCGAATATGACTCCTGAAATTAGCTTCAGTTTAGCAAGGGGCCTTGACAGCTTGACCTCTTAATATCCTTATAATGACGCCATTTACATTCAATGCTTACTCAAGTCACTCACTGCTAGATTTGTTTGAAAGGAGTCCACTCTAGGGCAGATGTATTATGTATTTTAACACACAGAGTTGGTGAGTGGGGCAAATGTAGGCCTTCTAAGAGGAAAAACTGTTTAATCAAGTCTTCATGAAAATGTGTTAGTTTCCAACTTCCTACAGTGAAAATGCATTATGCTAATTACAGCATACTCCAGAAATACTTCATGTTTTCTCCACAAGACATTTTCATGGCATGTCTTATATTAAACACAAACATGTTCTGATCCTCTGCAACTTTAGTTTCTAATTTCACTGGAGAACTGTTACACAGGATAAGGATTGGCTGGGCCAGGATCAGGGAATGGGAAGAACGTAGACTTGGAGTCAGGTAGAATTGGATTCAGATCCCAACACCACCACTTCCTAATTCAATGGACTTGGGTACCTCCCTGAACCTCAGTTTCTTCATCTGTGACATGGGGTTGTTATTTTTATTTTTATTTTTATTTTTGAGACAGAGTCTCGCTCTGTCACCCAGGCTGGAGTGCAGTGGCCGGATCTCAGCTCACTGCAAG